TTATGGTAGCCATGTGCAATCCCGTGGCTCCATGACAGAGGTGAACCGTGGATAATTTGATGGAGTACAGTTGCCATCGTCCGCGATCTTCTCTAATGTCTTAGCCAAACTCAGCTTTACCTGGCATCTTCCTCGAGATAAGGGGTCCATCATGTAACCTCCGACTCAGGCCAAAAAAGTCAAGAAAGTTGTATTTGAAAAGGACTGGCATTAATTATAGAAGACTAACATTAACATGGCTGAACTGTTCTATAAACCCGACAAAGATTGCCAGTTCATATTTCGGGAGGTTTTTTTTTCTCCATTTGATGACTTGTACTTGGTCCTTTCTTTATCAATCGTGAATCATAGATGATGCCGGCGGAGGTTATTTCCTGGAACCACTCCCTCTGTTAAATCATATCTCTGGTATAATACAGTCGTGGCCAAGAGTTAAAGATCACCCGATACTTTTTTACATTTTAGCAATAAAATGAACATATTGTTCAGTTATTTAAAAAATGCATGCTTCAAACTTCAATGGTTAAAATATGTTTATGGTAAGCTGTAATGTTGTGGAATAGTTTAGATAAAAAGTAGTACTTTGTGTGTCCACCGTCTTGCTTGAATGACTGCTTGAACAGGACACGGTGTGCTAGCGTGCTTGACTGGTTCGCCAATATTTTTCTGGGGAAATTCCATGTGTCTACACCTCCTTGATTGTACCTCTGACGGCTTATTTTGCGCTTGACTGCTGCTTGTTTAACACCTTATTTATTTTATCCTGAGAGACATTTTCAACAGAATTGAGGTCAGGGCTATTTTCAAGCCACTCTAAGTTCGTGACCTTGACCTTTTAGAGGTATTATTGCACATTGCACATTATTTGCTCCGTGGCACGGAGCGCCGTCGTGCATGGAAATTTTGCGCCCTTGAATGTGCATGTATATTTCCAATTTGTCCTGAAACAGTTCCAATGGCCTGGGCCGTTGAAAGTCTATCCACGCTTTAAAAGATTTAATCCAACCAGAGAGACAGGGTTTCAGACTTTGAAATTGAGACCCAGCTCATCACACTTGGCGAATGTTTCAGTGTTTGTATGGTATACTCTGTGCCGTATCTTTTCTCTTGTGGCGTCCTGACATGATACTGCCGAACTACAAACTGCTGCAAAGTCAAATCATCTCAAAACATCACTTTGGTCAAACGCTTGGCAGTCCAGTGCTCATGGATTCTTGTAAACGCCAGCCACTTCTTTTTCATTTCTTTGTTTACGGGCTGGTTTACAAGATTTGAGCTCAAATTCTTCAACCAACCGTTGGGAAACATTTCTGCGACTCACGTTTGAACCCTTACTACTTAACTGTAGCTGCCAACTACTACTGCGACACCACCGCTGCTGCTGCTG